GGGTGTCCAGAGTGTTCTCTGACCCTGGTTACTATTTTATGCACATGGCCAACCACCTCACAATCCATTGTCCCTTCAAGCGGGCCACCTGACATTGAAAGAAGGCCAGTCTGGTTTACACAGAGGTTTTTTTTTTTTTTTTTTTTTTTTTTTTTTTTTTTTGAGACGGCGTTTTGCTCTTCTTACCCAGGCTGGAGTGCAATGGCGCGATCTCGGCTCACCGCAACCTCCGCCTCCTGGGTTCAGGCAATTCTCCTGCCTCAGCCTCCTGAGTAGCTGGGATTACAGGCACGCGCCACCATGCCCAGCTAATTTTTGTATTTTTAGTAGAGACAGGGTTTCACCATGTTGACCAGGATGGTCTCAATGTCTTGACCTCGTGATCCACCCGCCTCGGCCTCCCAAAGTGCTGGGATTACAGGCTTGAGCCACCGCACCCGGCCCTCACCCCTTTTTAAACTTGTTTAGCATGCAGTATCTCCTCCTTTACGATGCCCAGTCACTCAGCCTTTTTCTTCAGACTGATTAAACTGTCCCCCGATCCCAGTAGGAGAGGGTGTTTTCAGGGGCCGCTTGGCATTGGAGAGTTTGTTACCACCCCCCACAATACCTAGATTGTGGGGGCACCTCCTTAAGCCGCATGCAGATCACCCGTATTGCGGCCGGCCTCACACGTGGCTCGGAGTGTGCTGTCGGCGCTAAGGAACTGGAGGCTCCCACACATTACCGTCTGCGCTGGCTCCTCCGGAGTCCTCCCTTTCACACACCTCTCCTTCCCAGTTTTCTCCTCCTGCTAGGCTTCCTCACTAAGTTGGCCTAAAAGCAGCTTTGCTTCAGGTGTTAATTGGTATGAGAATTTTATTCAAATCGGGGAGTCCCTAACACTTTCCTCAGCCCTACCTGGTCCGGTTAGTAATTATTTCCCTGGAGCTGAACAGGTTCTGGTTAGATGAGTTTTACTTGAATCTGCGAGCCTCTCTCACTTCCCCTAGGCTTGCTAGGTGGGGTTACTAGTCACTTCCCTGGAAGGTGATTGGAGCTTCAGACCTCCTTTCCCTTTTTTCTTTCTTTTCTTTCTTTCTTTTTTTTTTTTTAGACAGTTTCACTCTTGTTACCCAGGCTGGAGTGCAATGGCGGGATCTCGGCTCACGGCAATCTCCGCCTCCTGGGTTCAGGCAATTCTCCTGCCTCAGCCTCCTGAGTAGCTGGGATTACAGGCACGTGCCACCACGCCCAGCTAGTTTTTAGTATTTTTAGTAGAGACGGAGTTTCACCATGTTGACCAGGATGGTCTCGATCTCTTGACCTCGTGATCCACCCGCCTCGGCCTCCCAAAGTGCTGGGATTACAGGCTTGAGCCATCGCACCCGGCCTTTTTTCTTTCTTTTCTTCAAGCCTCAACTGTCTCACCGTGGTTCCTGAAGCATGCTGATTCTAGAATCATTCTGCAGACTCATCCTAGTTCCATTGGGCCGTGGGTGGAAGGCACTGGGGTTGGGGAGAGCTGATTTCCTTCTTGAGAGAAGCCTCCCAGTGGTGCCTGGGGTCTCCGGTCTCCCTTGGCCCAGGGCCCTGGCCCCCCGCACAGGCAGAGGAGACAGCAATCTTGTCATCTCCATTTCCCTGCCAATGCACCAGAAATATTGCAGGATATCAGAGGCCGGAGAGACCACTGAGGTTACCGAAGGAGTTTATTTTAGGCATACACCAGCCCAGCTGGTTCCCTAACTGGGAACAAAATGGCTGAGCCCTTAACAAAGGCAGGGCTTGATTTTTTTATACATAAAGCACACAGTGGCACTAAAACAAGTTTGCAGGTGTAGAACAAAGGCAATTCATTAGCAATGATAGGCTGCCAATTTAGGCTTACATTGACTGTTGTATGTGACCCAGATGTTCGCTATCTGTAGAGCTCAAGGATTCTAGCACAGACCTTATCTATTCCCTTCTGCTACAGTGTCCAGAAAGCCAGAGTCCTGCCTGCTTGGGCTTTTTTTTTTTTTTTTTGAGATGGAGTTTCGCTCTTGTTACCCAGGCTGGAGTGCAATGGCACGATCTCGACTCACCGCAACCTCTGCCTCCTGGGTTCAAGCAATTCTCCTGCCTCAGCCTCCTGAGTAGCTGGGATTACAGGCACGTGCCACCATGCCCAGCTAATGTTTTGTATTTTTAGTAGAGACGGGGTTTCACCATTTTGACCAGGATGGTCTCGATCTCTCGACCTTGTGATCCACCCGCCTCGGCCTCCCAAAGTGCTGGGATTACAGGCTTGAGCCACCGCGCCCGGCCTACTTTTTTATTTTTTGAAAGAGGTTAAGTAATAGCAACAGTATGCTTTTCGTTTTTAAACTTTAAATCTCCGAAAGACTTACTAGTAGAATTTTCCAGGACTGACATTTGTTGCATACATGTTAATTTCATCTGATCTCTCATCTTGTTTACTAGTTCTATGTAGTGCATTTAAGTTCAAATGTGGCGAGTTCCTCTATTTTAGTTATTGTATTATTCATTCTACAACTTAGTTATTTTAAAAATTCTTGTGTAGTTTCTACTTTCCCGAAGATACTTTTATCTTATTTAAATATAGTATGCATAGTTGTTTTTATATTTTTGTCCAGTAAGTCAAATATTTGATGTCTTTGCAGGTTTGCTTCTGTTACTCTGGTGTCTTTCACACTGTCTTCTTTATTGTGAGCTTTGTCATCTTTGGTTGCTTGTTAGTCATTGTTCATAGAAAATTACTTGCAAGGTTTATCAATTACTGGATGAGATGTTACCTTCTTTGAGAAAGTTTATTTTTGCTTCTTTCAGTTTTCTAAAGATTTTACAATGTGGGACCATTCTTTGTATGATTTTAAGTAATGTGGTTCATTCAAAATTGATATAACTGATGGAGAAATCTGATGTAAGATCAATGTGTGGTGACAAAATTGTAGAAAATTTATTTCTCTTTTTAAATTTTTTTTATCACCTGCCCTCAACTTCAAGACAATCTTCATGCCATTCCTCAGTGTTGGGAAGAAAGGGACTGTTTGGGTCATACATAGTCTTTGAACTCCCAGGTTAATGTTGAGAAGGTTTTTATAATAATTCTCAAGTGCTAAACATTCATAAGTATTTAATAAATGATAGATAACATTATTATACTAGTAATCCTGAACCCAAATTTCTAACTGTTTAGCTGCACTGTTCTGTTCTATGAAAAGAATTTTTTTGTTTAGAATATTGTTTAACGGATTGATGATGTATTATAAATTGTGACTACAGCTGGGCATGGTGGCTCATGCCTGTAATTCCAGCAGTTTGGGAGGCCAAGCCGGGTGGATCATGAGGTCAGGAGTTTGAGACAAGCCTGGCAAACATGGTGAAACCCCATCTCTACTAAAAATATAAAAATTAGCTGCGTGTGGTGTTGGGCACCTGTAATCCTAGCTACTTGGGAGGCTGAGACAAGAGAATCATTTGAACCCAGGAGGCAGAGGTTGCAGTGAGCCGAGATTGTGCGTTTGCACTCCAGCCTAGGAGACAAAGAGAGACTTTGTCTTAAAAATAATAATAAATAAGCCGGGTGCGGTGGCTCAAGCCTGTAATCCCAGCACTTTGGGAGGCCGAGGCGGGTGGATCACGAGGTCAAGAGATCAATACCATCCTGGTCAACATGGTGAAACGCCGTCTCTACTAAAAATACAAAAAATTAGCTGGGCATGGTGGCGCGTGCCTGTAATCCCAGCTACTCAGGAGGCTGAGGCAGGAGAATTGCCTGAACCCAGGAGGCGGAGGTTGCAGTGAGCTGAGATCGCGCCATTGCACTCCAGCCTGGGTAACAAGAGCGAAACTCTGTCTCAAAAATAAATAAATAAATAAATAAATAGGCTGGGCGTGGTGGCTCACGCCTGTAATCCAAGCACTTTGGAGGCCAAGGGGGGTGGATCACCTGAGGTCGGGAGTTCAAGACCAGTCTGACCAACATGGTGAAACCTCGTCTTCTTAAAAAATAATAATAGTAAGGCCGGGCGCGGTGGCTCAAGCCTGTAATCCCAGCACTTTGGGAGGCCGAGGCGGGTGGATCACAAGGTCGAGAGATCGAGACCATCCTGGTCAACATGGTGAAACCCCGTCTCTACTAAAAATACAAAACATTAGCTGGGCATGGTGGCACGTGCCTGTAATCCCAGCTACTCAGGAGGCTGAGGCAGGAGAATTGGCTGAACCCAGGAGGCGGAGGTCGCGGTGAGCCGAGATCGCGCCATTGCACTCCAGCCTGGGTAACAAGAGCGAAACTCCGTCTCAAAAAAAAAAAAAAAAAGAAAGTGTGGGGACACAAGAATCCCCTCTTCCCCACGTTAGTGATTCATCTGGACCAGGTTTTATGTTTTGAGAGGTTTTAGAATGTACTTTTCTACAGCTGATTGAAATTTGTCGTCTAAATTTTAAAAATTAAGGGTAAATAAGGCTTATACTAGTAGTGTTGCACATTCCTGACTCAAACTCTTTTTGTTTTTTAGCATACTTTTTTTTTTTTTTTCTGAGACAGAGTTTCTCTCTTGTTACCCAGGCTGGAGTGCAATAGCACGATCTCAGCTCACTGCAACCTCCGCCTCCTGGGTTCAGGCAATTCTCCTGCCTCAGCCTCCCGAGTAGCTGGGACTACAGGCGTGCACCACCATGCCCAGCTAATTTTTGTATTTTTAGTAGAGACGGGGTTTCACCATGTTGACCAGGATGGTCTTGATCTCTTGACCTCATGATTCACCCGCCTCGGCCTCCCAAAGTGCTGGGATTATAGGTGGGAGCCACCGCACCCGGCCTTGAGTATACTTTTTTTTTTTTTTTTTTTTGAGATGGAGTTTCACTCTCGTTACCCAGGCTGGAGTGCAATGGCGTGATCTCGGCTCACCGCAACCTCCGCCTCCTGGGTTCAGGCAATTCTCCTGCCTCAGCCTCCTGAGTAGCTGGGATTACAGGCACGCGCCACCATGCCCAGCTAATGTTTTGTATTTTTAGTAGAGGCGGGGTTTCACCATGTTGACCAGGATGGTCTCGATCTCTTGACCTCGTGATCCACCCGCCTTGGCCTCCCAAAGTGCTGGGATTATAGGCGTGAGCCACCGCGCCTGGCCTGAGTATACTTTTAAGAGTGAAAGGAGCACGTTCTACTATGGATTGTCCTCAGGGGTTATGTGGGATGCCTGAGCCATCCTGTAAATACAGAAGTAAAAAGATGCTTAGTGACATATTGAGTAGACTCTCCAGGAAAGGCATGTGCACTAATTAAATGAGTGTTGGTATCAATGGATACATGTACATATTTTAGTTTTCCAAATTCAGGAATATGTATAACATCTGTTGCCATAGCTGGTTATGTTATAACCTTCTAGGGTTAACACCTGTTGAAGGAGGCAATGTGCCTGTGAGCTGGCAATCTGGGCATTGCAGGATACTTTGTTTAGCCAGTATCTGGGTAAGTTGAAATTGTTTAGATAAGTTTCTCCGATGTTGGTGAAAAAAATTGATGTGATTTGGCTTAGTCAAACAGTGATTTCATAACCTGAAGCTCTGCTTGATTATTGCCATAAGCCAATAGGCCATGCAGTGAGCTGTGGACTTCAATGTGTGTAATAAAAATATAATGTGGGTGGGGTGAGGTGGCTGACGCCTTGCAATCTCAGCAGTTTGGGAGGCCAAGTTAGGCGGATCAGAAGTTTGAGACCAGGCTGTCCAAGATGGTGAAACCTCCCATCTCTACCAAAAAATACAAAAATTAGCCAGGTGTGGTGGGGGATGCCTGTAATCCCAGCTAGTTAGGAGGCTGAGGCAGGAGAATCACTTGAATCCAGGAGGCGGCAGTTGTAGTGAACCAACATCGCGCCATTGCACTCCAGCCTGAGCAACAAGAGTGAAAGTTCGTCTCAAAAAAAGTAATAATAAAAGGATGTGTATATTGATCTAGCAATTGCTGAAGTCAGAAAAAGAGCATACAAGGCAGACTCCAGAGCGGACTTAATTATGGCTTTCTCAAGGTTCTTCAGTAAATAAACAGAGTGAGCTGCTAATAATATGGTGGTGCTGAGTGTAAAAAGTTTTCAAAGCCAGTATTAGGGCCTGAATCTCAGCTTTCTGACTGCTAGTAAACCCACATCGAGTGAGGGAATTATGTGATATCCACCAAACTGCCATTTTTCCATGTTTACCCAAACCACCAGTAAACAGTGTTAAAGCATTAGGTAAGGCTGGGCGTGGTGGCTCACGCCTATAATCCCAGCACTTTGGGAGGCCGAGACGGGTGGATCACGAGGTCAAGAGATCGAGACCATCCTGGTCAACAAGGTGAAACCCCGTCTCTACTAAAAATACAAAAATTAGCTGGGTATGGTGGCGCGTGCCTGTAGTCCCCGCTGCTTGGGAGGCTGAGGCAGGAGAATTGCTTGAACCCAGGAGGCAGAGGTTGCGGTGAGCCGAGACCACTGTACTCTAGCCTGGGTAACAAGAGGGAAACTGTCTCAAAAAAAAAAAAAAAAAAAAAAGCATTAGGTATAGGGCAGTGAACTATTTTTTGTAGGCAAGATCACAGTACGAGGTAAGAAATGAAGGAGTTTATCAGCAAGAAGGACATGCTCTATTTGTCCTGTGTAATTGGAGAGTGCTATTTGCAAGTTCATCAATAGGGTCAATACTTAATTGATTTTTGCTTAAAGGAATCGATAATATCCGGATCATAACCTAGCAACTGATTGCATGGTATGCAACCTGAATGGGTGACTTTACTAAGTAACTGGATATAGGAAGAGAGTGTTTTAGTCCTGGTATGTGAGAAAAAAAAAAAAAAAAATCCATTCTAGAAGGTGCAGTCCTGGGGTCATCTGTCCTATTAACCCCATAGGGGAGTGTTTGGTGGGAAAAATAAACAATTGAAAACTGTGGATCAATGTGATATAGTTGTCTTTAAGAGACAGCTTGGCCGGGCGCGATGGCTCAAGCCTGTAATCCCAGCACTTTGGGAGGCCGAGGCGGGTGGATCACGAGGTCGAGAGATCGAGACCATCCTGGTCAACATGGTGAAACCCTGTCTCTACTAAAAGTGCAAAAAATTAGCTGGGCGTGGTGGCGCGTGCCTGTAATCCCAGCTACTCAGGAGGCTGAGGCAGGAGAATTGCCTGAACCCAGGAGGTGGAGGTTGCGGTGAGCCGAGATCGCGCCATTGCACTCCAGCCTGGGTAACAAGGGCGAAACTCCGTCTCAAAAAAAAAAAAAAAAAAAAAAGAGACAGCTTGTTCTATATTCTTGATGGCACTTTTTGCTGCAGTGGTTAAATATCTGGGAGGATCAAGGGCTGTATGTCCCTTTAAGATAGAAAACAGGAGCCAGGGGCGGTGGCTCAAGCTTGTAATCCCAGCACTTTGGGAGGCCGAGGCGGGTGGATCACGAGGTCCAGAGATCGAGACCATCCTGGTCAAAATGGCGAAACCCCGTCTCTATTAAAAATACAAAAAATTAGCTGGGCATGGTGGCTCGTGCCTGTAACCCCAGATACTCCAGAGGCTGACGCAGGAGAATTGCCTGAACCCAGGAGGCGGAGGTTGCGGTGAGCCGAGATCGCGCCATTGCACTCCAGCCTGGGTAACAAGAGCGAAACTCCGTCTCAAAAAAAAAAAAAAAAGAAAAAGAAAACAGGTTTTGCAGCTGATAAGTAGGAATGCCTAAAGTGGGGCAGAGCCAGTTAATATCACCTAGTAATTTCTGATAATCATTTAAGGTGCACAAGTTGCTAGTATTTAATTTAAACTTTTGGGGTCTTACTGACCGGGAAGTTAGTATTTACTCTAGGTATTTCCAAGGAGAGGACATTTGTACTTTTTTTTTTTTTTTTTTTTGAGACGGAGTTTCACCCTTGTTACCCAGGCTGGAGTGCAATGGCGCGATCTCAGCTCACCGCAACCTCCGCCTCCTGGGTTCAAGCAATTCTCCTGCCTCAGCCTCCTGAGTAGCTGGGATTACAGGCATGTGCCACCATACCCAGCTAATTTTTTGTATTTTTAGTAGAGACGGGGTTTCACCATGTTGACCAGGATGGTCTTGATCTGTTGACCTTGTGATCCACCCGCCTCGGCCTTCCAAAGTGCTGGGATTACAGGCTTGAGCCACCGCGCCCGGCCCATTTGTACGTTTTTAGATTCAATGATTAAACCTCTCAGCTGTGTATTCTTTAAAACAGAGGTAAATTTAAAAGCACTGGCTAATACCATCCATGAAATGAATAACCTTGCAATCATTTTTTTTCTACTGGGGAGCAAAGCTTTATTTACATGATATTGACACATGGTAGGACAGTTTAGCATTCCTTGAGCAAGCACTTTCCAATGAAATTGACAAGTTGGCCTTTCATTATTGATAGCTGGTATTGCAAATGCAAATTTTTCTGTGTTGTTCTACTAGGGAAATTGTTTTCGTCCCCAAACTATAGCCCGTGGGCCGCATGCGGCCCCCGAGGCCATTTATCCGGCCCCCCGCCGCACTTCAGGAAGGGGCACCTCTTTCATTGGTGGTCAGTGAGAGCACAGTATGTGGCGCCCCTCCAATGATCTGAGGGACAGTGAACTGGCCCCCTGTGTAAAAAGTTTGGGGACGCCTGCTTTAAGTCAATAATGATTATAGGCCAATCTTGAGGAATTGGGTTCCCCTGTTCTTGAGGAACAGGGGAAGGGAGTCCCTGCTGAAGGGGTCCCATGGGTTGCAAATTAACACTAGCAGCATGTACGTCATGGAAAAGTCAATTTCCAAGACTTTTTAGGAATGAAGAAAATAGGCAAATTCCCAGAACTATTAGATTGTTCTATATGCCCAGCTTTTAATTGCTCTTCAACTAATTCATGGGCTATCTGCAATTTCTTTTCCTTCAGAGGCCACTGTTCTACCCAAATTGGTTCATGGGTAGGGGAGAAATGGTAACAGTGGCCATTTTTAGAAAGGGGTCCGCAGAGTTACTCCCCATTGGGTTAATAGGTTCTTTGCCCAAAGATTAACAGGTATGGTCATGATTAGAGGTTGCTAACTGCCTTTATTCCTTCTGAATTGCAACAAGTTGAGGGTACATGCTCTGCCTGGCTGTGTCCAGTAAGAGTCACTTTTATTTATCTTTTTTGTCCTGGGTTATTTTCTTTGTATTACAAGGAGCAACATTCTTACTTATTTCTGATTTTTTTTTAATTGTACTTTAGGTTCTGGGGTACGCATGTAGATCTTGCAGTGTTGTTGCATAGGTACATACATGGCAAGGTGGCTTGCTGCCTCCATTTCCCCATTATCTACATTTGGCATTTCTCCCCACCCTCCACTGTCCCTCTCCTAGCCCCCCCCCCAACTGACCCCAGTGTGTGATGCTCCCCTCCCTGTCTTATTCTGACTTTTAAGGTAATTACGGGCCACTGATCAGTAATTGATTTCAATATACTCTTGTGCTTCCTAAACTTCCCTTTCCCCTGTCCTTTCCATGGGCATTGGGGACCCAGTATGGTAAAATCAGTTACTGAGCTATCTTGGATCCAGGGGGAAGAATATCCATACCTTTACATTTCATTATAACCACTATCACACCTTGGTAATCACCATCAATTACCCCAGTGAGCACATAAATTCCTTTACTGGATAGGCTAATCACACTATTCCCAGAAGCAATGGGTTCCAGATCCCAGTTGCAACCCTTTTAGGGTCTTCTCCTTCTCCTTTTTTTTTTTTTTTTTTTTTTGAGAGGGAGTTTTGCTCTTGTTACCCAGGCTGGAGTGCAATGGCGCGATCTCGGCTCACCGCAACCTCCGCCTCCTGGGTTCAGGCAATTCTCCTGCCTCAGCCTCCTGAGTAGCTGGGATTACAGGCACGTGCCACCATGCCCAGCTAATTTTTTGTATTTTTTTAGTAGAGACGGGGTTGCACCATGTTGACCACCCGCCTCGGCCTCCCGAAGTGCTGGGATTACAGGCTTGAGCCACCGCGCCCGGCCTCTTCTCCTTCTTTTAGCACTCATTTGTTGGGGCAGAGGAAGTCCAGTTTTGCACTCCCAGAGGTGGCTGCTCTGAGGTAGAGGACTACGGGCTTCCCATCTGACCTGGGAAAGTCACTGGCAGTGCCCGTTTGAAGCAGGGTCTAGTGCTGGCTGCTCAAGTTTCCCACCTGGTTACTACTTACGGGGTATCTGTTTTTACCAAATTTTGACCTGCATTGATTTTTCCAGTTTCTCCTTTTTACATTGGGGGAACATAGAAGGGGGTTTTTCCCTGAGTTACCTTGGTCTCTAGTGTGGGGGCATTTACTCTTCATATGACCTGGCTGTCTACATAGAAAACAAGTTTGGTTTCTTTCCCTTTTCTTTCTTTCTTTTTTTTTTTTTTTTTTTTTTTGAGACGGAGTTTCGCTCTTGTTACCCAGGCTGGAGTGCAATGGCACCATCTTGGCTCACCGCAACCTCCGCCTCCTGGGTTCAGGCAATTCTCCTGCCTCAGCCTCCCGAGCAGCTGGGATTACAGGCACACGCCACCATGCCCAGCTGATTTTTTGTATTTTTAGTAGAGACGGGGTTTCACCATGTCGACCAGGATGGTCTCGAACTCTCGACCTCGTGATCCACCCGCCTCGGCCTCCCAAAGTGCTGGGATTACAGGCTTGAGCCACCGTGCCCGGCCCCCCTTTTCTTTCTTTCTTTTTCTTTTCTTTCTTTTTTTTTTGAGACGGAGTTTCGCTCTTGTTACCCAGGCTGGAGTGCAATGGTGCGATCTCGGCTCACCGCAACCTCCGTCTCCTGGGTTCAGGCAATTCTCCTGCCTCAGCCTCCTGAGTAGCTAGGATTACAGGCACGCGCCACCATGCCCAGCTAAATTTTTTGTATTTTTAGTGGAGACGGGGTTTCACCATGTTGACCGGGTTGGTCTTGATCTCTTGATCTCGTGATCCACCCGCCTTGCCCTCCCAAAGTGCTGGGATTACAGGCTTGAGCCACCGCGCCCGGCTAGCTTGCCTTCTTTTGGGAACCTTGAGTTATGGGTCACAAGAGTTTGCATTAGGTCCCTTAATTGAACCTGTGAAATCAAGGCTTCACTAGCCTTAAACAGCTGATAACTGCTGTCCCATGATAAAACCTTAGTCTGAACAATCCCCTGCCACAATCAGCAACATAGAAATCCCAAGTCGGCACCAAAGACTTACTGATCATGCAGTTCTTTTCACCTTCATTTTTAGGGGTCCGTAGCGATCTTTCACAACATTCCACACGGCACCAGCTGAAGGGGTCCAACCCACGGACCCTGACCCGGCAACAGACCAGAGATGTACACTGACACAGATATTTTGCCTGTCAGTCTGGCTGAGGGCCTGGGCCAGTCACAAACACCAAGAAAAGTGCTGCAAAGAGTCACAGCCAAGGCCCCAATCAGCCAGTGACACTCACATTTATTAAATCTAGATTAAATGACACAGATCTTTTTTTTTTTTTGAGACGGAGTTTCGCTCTTGTTACCCAGGCTGGAGTGCAATGGCGCGCTATCTTGGCTCACCGCAACCTCCGCCTCCTGGGTTCAAGCAATTCTCCTGCCTCAGCCTCCTGAGTAGCTGGGATTACAGGCATGTGCCACCATGCCCAGCTAATTTTTTTTGTATTTTTAGTAGAGACGGGGTTTCACCATGTTGACCAGGATGGTCTCGATCTCTCGACCTCGTGATCCACCCGCCTCAGCCTCCCAAAGTGCTGGGATTACAGGCTCGAGCCACCGCACCCAGCATAAATGACACAGATCTTGAAGAAACATCACTAGAGGGTGATTTACCTGGTTGCTGACTCCCCGAGTAGAGGGCAGTTATGCCCCTGCAGCTGATCATAGGTTGGTCTTAGAACCACACGAGGAAACAAGCTATTTAAAGTACTCTACATTCCTTTGTATCTACACCCTGAGCTTTTAAGTTAGTTCTGCTTTCAGCCAAACCTTTTATGTAAACCCCCAGGCCTTCCAAGAGAGTGTGTGCTTATTCTCTATAATTTTACAATTTCTCTCACCATCCTGACAGAACCCCAAAGGTCTCAAACTCCTGACCTCATTATCCACCTGTCTTAGCCCCCTTAAATTGCTGGGATTAAAGGTATGAGCCACTGCACCTGGCCAAAAGCTTGTACTATCTGAAAGATCTTTTGACAGTAATTTTACATATGCTTTTATTACTCTCTGGTGTTAAGATGTGAGCAGGTATTAATGGCCTTTTCAGTCTTTATAGTTGTATGATTTATCTCAATTATAAATGCTTTCCTGTGCAATAAGGGGTGAGCACTGGTTACAAGTTTTGCCACACTGTTCACACGTGTAGGCATTTCCTCTACTATCTTACCTACAATTAAAGTGTGATGACCAATTTAGGCTTTGCCATGTTTTTCACACTCATAGAGTTTCTGTACAGTATAAATTTTTTAATACTTAAGAGTTAAGGATTGAGCTGGGCGCAGTGGCTCACGCCTGTAATTTCAGCACTGTGGGAGGCAGGTGGGCAGATCACGAGGTCAGGGGTTTGAGACTAGCGTGACCAACATAGTGAAACTTAAAAATACAAAAATACATAAAATACAAAAATGAGCACCTGTAATCCCAGCTACTTGGGAGGCTGAGGCAGGAGAACTGCTTGAACCCAGGAGGCAGAGGTTGCAGTGAGCCGAGAGTGTGCCATTGCACTCCAGCCTGGGCAACAGAGCAAGACTCTGTCTCAAAGAATAAAAAGTTGAAGATTGGTTAAAGGCTGTGGCACATTTTTCACACTTTTAGATTTTTCTCAGCAGTATGAATTATTTTGTTTAATAAGATATGAGGACTGCTTGAAAGCACTGCCACATTCTTCACAGTTGGTACGGTTTCTTCTCAGTATAAATTTTCCTGTGTTTAGTAAGAGTTGAGGATTGGTTAAAGGCTTTGCCACATTCTTCACATTTGTAGATTTCTCTCAAGTATGAATTATCTTATGTTTAGTAAGTTTTGAGGATCGGTTAAAAGCTATGCCACATTCTTCACATTTGTAGGGTTTCTCTCCAGTGTGAATTCTCTTATGTGTAGTAAGGATTGAGGAATGGCTAAAAGTTTTGCCACATTCTTCACATTTGTAAGATTTCTCTCCAGTATGAATTATCTTATGTGTAGTAAGGTTTGAGGATTGGTTAAAAGCTTTGCCACATTCTTCACATTTGTAAGGTTTCACTCCAGTATGAATGATCTTATGTTTAGTAAGGGTTGAGGACCAACTAAAGCCTTTGCCACATTCTTCACATTTGTAGGGTTTCTCCCCAGTATGAGTCATCTTATGTGTAGTAAGGTTTGAAGACACACTAAAGGCTTTTCCACATTCTTCACATTTGTAGGGTTTCTCTCCAGTATGAATTCTTCTATGTTTAGTAAGTGTCGAGGACCAGTTAAAGGCTTTGCCACATTCTTCACATTTGTAAGATTTCTCTCCAGTATGAATTATCTTATGTTTTGTAAGGTATGAAAATCGGTTAAAAGCTTTGCCACATTCTTCACATTTGTAGGGTTTCTCTCCAGTATGGATTCTCTTATGTGTAGTAAGCTGTGAGGACCGGCTGAAGGCTTTGCCACATTCTTGACATCTGTAGCGTTTCTCTCCAGTATGAATCATCCTATGTGTACTAAGGGTTGAGGGGTGCTTAAAAGCTTTGCCACATTCTTCACATTTGAAGGGTTTTTCTCCAGTATGAATTATCTTATGTGTAGTAAGGGTTGAAGACTGCTTAAAAGCTTTGCCACATTCTTCACATTTGAAGGGTTTCTCTCCAGTATGAATTATCCTGTGTCTAGTAAAGGTTGAGAACCACTTAAAGGCTTTGCCACATTCTTCACATTGGTACAAATTCTCCCCAGTATGAACTCTTTTATGTTGACTTAGGTGTAAAAGCATGCAAAATGATTTATCACATTTTTTACATTTGAAAGGTTTTTTTCTAGTATGTCTTGTCTTATGTCTATTTGAATTTAAAAGTTTATGAAAGACTTTTACATATTTATCACATTGAAATATTTTGCTCTGGGTAGCTGTCAAACACTGGCTTAGTTCATTATAACCTTCTTTGTGCACCTTACACTCATCCACCACACTTTCACAGCCTTTTCTTAACTGTAAATTCTCAGGTCCACATTTTCCATATCTTCTCAGTATCAACTGTTTAAAAGAACCTTTCATGTCTTGCTCTGGCCAAAGGTTTTTGGGAAAATAAGAACACATAGCTGAAAGAAATAAAAACAAATTATTAAACTTACTATATTTAAATACTTTATGAATAATCTATATTATACAAACTACATAAGCAAGATGCCATAATAAAATACTACAGGCCCTAACCCCTTCATAGACATATAAATGTAATAAAAATCATTTGAGAAAAACTTAAAAGTGTAAGTTCCCCAGGTGAGTACAATGCAAAGACACAGAAGAAAAAGAAAAGTCTGTTATATTTACCCAACAAAGTTCTTTTCTGCTCTCCAATATAACACAGTGCTTTTCAAAGTAAATTTCTAACTTTCAGTTTCTTTTTTAATAAACAAGTAAAATACTGGCACATACATCTATATTAATTGATTCTAGAGGCCTTTTCAAAAAGTGGTATCCCATAACATAAAGTGCTGGAAGAAATGGTGGTATGACAGTTTGGGTTTGCTGAGACCAAAGGTATATGTTACAGCAACAGAGAGAAAACAGATGTCACAAATGATACTGGTTAAGATGAAGCAGAGATCAATTCCCTTAACTAACTAAAAATTAAACACAAAATTTTAGACAAGATACATTCTTTTTTTTTTTTTTAAGAGACAGGGGTTTCACAATGTTGGCCAAGCTGGTCTTGAACTTCTGGCCTCAAGTGATCCACCCACCTTGGCCTCAAAAGTGCTGGGATTACAGGCATCAGCCACTGGACAAGATACATTCTAAGAACATGTTTGAGAGTATCCCAGAATCTCTAACCAAGATAACTGTTTTCAGACTATGCCAGGACAGAGCTACATTATAAAGATTGTGAAAAGTAGCTTTATTTAATGTCCAAATCTTAATAAAAAATTACAATGAATATAAAATATGGCAAAATAGTTCCAAAAAATATTATAGAATTTTCAGGAAGAAACCATAAAAACAATGCATACATTAATTTTAAAAACTGAAAATAATAAATTGAATACTCAATTAGTAAAGTAGAAACACAAAGAACAATAGAAAATCAGAATAAAATGAGGATAAAAACAAAAATAGAGCTAGGCATGGTGGTTCACACCTGTAATCTCAGCACTTTGGGATGCTGAGGCAGGCAGATCATGAGGTCAGGAGACTAAGACCATCCTGGTCAACATGGTGAAACCCCATTTCTACTAAAATACACACACACACACACACACACACAATTAGCCAGGTGTGGTGGTGCGCACCTATAGTTCCAGCTACTCAGGAGTCTGAGGCAGGTGAGTTCCTTGAACTCATGAGGCAGAGGCTGCAGTCAGAAGAGATCATGCCACTGTACTCCAGCCTGGCTACAGAGCAAGACTCTGTCTCAATATATGTGTGTGTATGCAAAAAACAGAAATCGTAAAGTTAAGAAAATAGAAAATATCACTAAAAAATTTTTTTTTTTTTTTTTTTTTGAGACGGAGTTTCGCTCTTGTTACCCAGGCTGGAGTGCAATGGCGCGATCTCGGCTCACCGCAACCTCCACCTCCTGGGTTCAGGCAATTCTCCTGCCTCGGCCTCCTGAGTAGCTGGGATTACAGGCACGTGCCACCACGCCCAGCTAGTTTTTTGTATTTTTAGTAGAGACGGGGTTTCACCGTGTTGACCAGGATGGTCTCGATCTCTTGACCTCCTGATCCACCCGCCTCGGCCTCCCAAAGTGCTGGGATTACAGGCTTGAGCCACCGCGCCCGGCTAAAATTTCCTTTTTTTAATAAAGACAAGGTTTCATCGTGTTGGTCAGTCTGGTCTTGAACTCCCGACCTCAGGTAATCGCCCGCCTTGGCCTCCAAAGTGCTTGGATTACAGGCATAAGCCACCACTCCTGGCCATAACTAAAAAATTCTTTTTTTTTTTTTTTTTTTTTGAGACGGAGTTTCGCTCGTTACCCAGGCTGGAGTGCAATGGCGCGATCTCGGCTCACCGCAACCTCCGCCTCCTGGGTTCAGGCAATTCTCCTGCCCCAGCCTCCTAAGTAGTTGGGATTACAGGCATGCGCCACCATGCCCAGCTAGTTTTTTGTATTTTTTTTTTTTTTTTTTTTTTTTTTTTGAGACGGAGTTTCGCTCTTGTTACCCAGGCTGGAGTGCAATGGCGCGATCTCGGCTCACCGCAACCTCCGCCTCCCGGGTTCAGACAATTCTCCTGCCTCAGTCTCCTGAGTAGCTGGGATTACAGGCACGTGCCACCATGCCCAGCTAATTTTTTGTATTTTTAGCAGAGACGGGGTTTCACCATGTTGACCAGGATGGTCTCGATCTCTTGACCTTGTGATCCACCCGCCTCGGCCTCCCAAAGTGCTGGGATTACAGGCTTGAGCCACCGCGCCCGGCCAGTTTTTTGTATTTTTAGTAGAGACGGGGTTTCACCATGTTGACCAGGATGGTCTCGATCTCTCGACCTCGTGATCCACCCATCTCGGCCTCCCAAAGTGCTGGGATTACAGGCTTGAGCCACCTGCGCCCGGCCCAAAAATTCTTAAAGAAAAAACATCAAAATGAAGAAGCTCGGGCCGGGTGCAGTGGCTCACACCTTTAATTCCAGCACTGTGGGAGGCCGAGGCAGGTGGATCATGAGGTCAGGTGATCGCCTTCCAACCATGCCCAATCTTGGAAGCGAAGCAGGGTCAGGCCTTGCTGAGACTTAGAAAATTGCCTGGGAATACTGGGTGCTATAAACTTTGGCCAGGCAAGGTAGATCATGCCTGCAATCCCAGCACTTTGGGAGGATGAGGCAGGCAGATCACCTGAGGTCAGGAGTTCGAGACCAGCCTGGCCAACATGGCAAAACACCATCTCTATTAAAAATACAAAAATTAGCTGAGTTAGGTGGCGGGCACCTGTAATCCCAGCTGCTTGAGAGGCTGAGGCTGGAGAATGGCTTGAACCTGGGAAGCAGAGGTTGCTTTGAGCTGAGATTGTGCCATTGCACTTCAGCCTGGGTGACACAGCAAGACTTCATCTCAAAAAATTAAAATAAAATAAATAAATTTTTTTTTTTTTTTTTTCGAGATGGAGTTTCGCTCTTGTTACCCAGGCTGGAGTGCAATGGCGCAATCTCGGCTCACCGCAACCTCCGCCTCCCGGGTTCAGGCAATTCTCCTGCCTCAGCCTCCTGAGTAGCTGGGATTACAGGCACGCGCCACCATGCCCAGCTAATATTTTGTATTTTTAATAGAGACGGGGTTTCACCATGTTGACCAGGATGGTCTCAATCTCTTGACCTAGTGATCCACCAGCCTCGGCCTCCCAAAGTGCTGGGATTACAGGCTTGAGCCACCGCTCCCGGCCTATAATTCCTTTTTACCTGCAACAAACTTAAATTTATAAGTAACCATTTTAGTAATATGGAGTGCCTACAAATTATCTAATTTACTTCAGGCATAACATATACATTCTATGATATTGTTCTAAATATTTGAATCTAAAATTATAGACGTTTGAAATAAAAAAATATGAAGTAAAAATGTATAGAAAAAGTATTATCAGTGACATAAAAAAATAAAAGGTGCCAAAACCTAAAATGCAATAAAAAAAAAAAAGGAAAAAATAAAAAAATAAAAAAATAAAAAATAAAAGGTGCTCACTGACCATGGGTGGTGGCTCATGCCTGTAATCCCAGCACTTTGGGAGGCTGAAGCAGGCAGATCATGAGGTCAAGAGATTGAGACCATCCTGGCCAACATGGTGAAACCCGTCTCTACTAAAAATACAAAAATTAGCTGGGTATGGTGGCGCACTCCTGTAGTCCCAGCTACTCGGGAGGCTAAGGCAGGAGAATCACTTGATTCCAGGAGGCAAAGGTTGCAGTGAGCCAAGATTGCAACACTGCACTCTAACCTTGCAACAGAGTGAGACTCCATCTCAAATAATAAAAATAAATAAAAGGTACTCTATTTGACTACCCTCCCTACAGCAAAAAAAAATTTTCAGTCATCCCTAACAAAAATTCCTTCATGAGAGAGCCAGGCATCATGGCTCAGATGTGTAATGACAGCTACACGGTACACTGAGGTTGTAGAATTTCTGCAGGCCAGGATTTCAAGACTAGCCTGGGTAATAAGCACAACCACATCTCCAAAGTAAGTGCCTTTAAGAGAGCTTTGAGGCCGGGCGCGGTGGCTCAAGCCTGTAATCCCAGCACTTTGGGAGGCTGAGGCGGGTGGATCACGAGGTCAAGAGATCGAGACCATCCTGGTCAACATGGTGAAACCCTGTCTCTACTAAAAATACAAAAAATTAGCTGGGCATGGTGGTGCGTGCCTGTAATCCCAGCTACTCAGGAGGCTGAGGCAGGAGAATTGCCTGAACCCAGGAGGCGGAGGTTGCGGTGAGCCGAGATCGTGCCATTGCACTCCAGCCTGGGTAACAAGAGCGAAACTCCGTCTCAAAAAAAAAAAAAAAAAAAAAAAAAAAAAAGAGAGCTTTGAGATCCAGGGAGGGAGTTGTGAAACTTTGCTAAAGCCCAAGATTGAGGAGTGTTCTTTTCAGAGGACAGCTTCTTATTTAGATAGGAAACTACAGGACCCCTGGCCTTGGTTACAGACCAAGAAATGGCCCAACCAACTTGGTCCCACTGAGATTTCTGAAGTTTACTCTGTAACCATCCCAACCTTCTCCTAGTTACAGACTGGGAGAGGTCCTGCTTTTTAGGAGACCTGGAGGAAGATACCAATTTGCAGCCATGCAGGCAGGCCTACAGACCTTGGTTTTCACAGCACTCCCAGAATCAGTTCAATGACTCAGTTCCACATCTCTGAGCCACAGTTCATGACCAGTTTTGCCTAAATAGAAACCCACACAGCAACGTGAGGAAACCCTCTCTGGTATTCAGTGAAAACCATACCCATTCAAGTCCTGATATAAGGGTAATTATACATGGACCCAATTGCAAAAACCTGCCCTGTTTCTGCCCTGCAGATCAAAGTCCTGAAGAATAATCAGTCTGTCCAAAATTAGAATGGGAATTACAATTACCCAAGGTCTTTGTAACAAGCCATCTAAAGGTCGACCCTAGTGCAGACACAGCAACCTTGTGACCAAGCTACAACCCCTCCACTACAAACCCAGAGGGACCCATTTGCAGGTAGATCCGGAGGTCAAGAGTTCAACACCAGCCTGGCTAAGATGGTGAAACTCTGTCTCTACTAAAAATTCAAAAATTAGTGGGTGTGGTGACAGGCACCTGTGATCCCAGCTACTTGGAGGACTCAGGCAGGAGAACTGCTTGAACTCAAGAGGCAGAGGTTACAGTGAGCGAACATTACACCACTGCACTCCAGACTGGGTGAGAGAATGAGACTCTGTCTCAAAAACAAAACAAAAAAAACAAAAAAAAAATTGGAATTGAAGAGAAATTAAGTAAAAAGTTGCTGTTTGTGGACTGTATAATCTTTTATATATATGTATATATATATACACACACACACACACACATATATAAATATACAGTACATTAAAATTTGTCTAAACTGGCCGGGCGCGGTGGCTCAAGCCTGTAATCCCAGCACTTCGGGAGGCCGAGGCGGGCGGATCACAAGGTCAAGAGATCGAGACCATCCTGGTCAACATGGTGAAACCCCGTCTCTATTAAAAATAAAAAAAATATTAGCTGGGCATGGTGGCGCGCGCCTGTAATCCCAGCTACTCAGGAGGCTGAGGCAGGAGAATTGCCTGAACCCAGGAGTCGGAGGTTGCAGTGAGCTGAGACTGCGCCATTGCACTCCAGCCTGGGTAAGAAGAGTGAAACTCCGTCTCAAAAAAAAAAAAAAAAGAAATATATATCAATGAAAGAAATTTTAAAAGACAAAAATAAATTTTAAAATATTTCATTTTGGCCAGGCACAGTTGCTCACACCTGTAATCCCAGCACTTTGAGAGGCAGAGGTGGACGGATCATGACGTCACGAGATCGAGACTAGTCTGGACAACATGGTAAAACCTCCTAACTCTACTAAAAATATAAACATTAGCCAGGCATGGTGGCACATGCCTGTAATCCCAGCTACTCAGGAGGCTGAGGCAGGAGAATCATTTGAACTCAGGAGGCGGAGATTGCAGTGAGCTGAGATCAGGCCATTGCACACCAGACTGGTGACCTAGCAAGACTGTCTTTAAACTTCAAATAGCAAAAGCACTTTTGAGAAAAAAGAACAAAGTAAAGGAACATCATAATTTACAATTTCACACTGTATTTTAAGACTATAGTAATACAGGCAGAATGGAATGTGCAGAAAAATTCACAAAGAAACCATTAATGGAACAGAAACCACTACTCTCACACATCTTAGACATGATGCAAAAAGAGAACTAAAAAATAGTTTAACATGGAGTTTTTCAAAATTACGCAGATATTTGTCTCCTAAAAAATGAAAAAGCAGACAGATGTACAGTCCCCTTTTTTAAGACGAAATCTCACTCTGTCACCCAGGCTGGAGTGCAGTGGCATGATCTCAACTAACTGAAACCTCTGCCTCCTGAGTTCAAGTGACTCTTCTGCCACAGCTTCCCAAGTAGCTAGGATTAAAGGTGCCCACAACCACATTGGACTAATTTTTGTATTTTTAGTAGAGATGGGGTTTCACCATGTTGTCCAGGCTGGTCTCAAACTCCAGACCTTGTGGTCTGCTGGCCTTCACCTCTAAAACTGCTGAGATTACAGGTGTAAGTCACTGTGGCCAGCCTGCACAGTGTCTTACACGCCATGAAGAAGACTTTGGCTCTCACTGTAAACTTGAAGGAAGATCACCCAAGGAAAAGCAGAATTCTTAGAGAATTTAACAGCATAAGACAGAAGATGCCCCTATGTAAAGAGAAAAATTTAAGAAAATACTCAGGCCTCCCAGAAACTATTTGCTTTGCAACACAGTTTCCCAAATCATGTTGTAAGAACTGGTTTTTTGTTTGTTTGACCTTTGGACCTCTCATCTGTGTTGTTTGTTGTATTCACTTTCACCTACCTGTGGGTTTGGCTATGATCTCATCTCTCTTCATATTCCAGGGCTCTTTTCCTTGCTCCAGACAGGTGACCGGGTTTTGCTTAGAGACAGCAATACCTGCTTTATTAAAAATAAGTAACATAAATCAATGTTTTTTTTTTTTTTTCCTCTTTCTCTTTTTTTTTTTGAGACGGAGGAGTTTCACTCTTGTTACCCAGGCTGGAGTGCAATGGCACGATCTCGGCTCACCGCAACCTCCGCCTCCTGGGTTCAGGCAATTCTCCTGCCTCAGCCTCCTGAGTAGCTGGGACTACAGGCACGCGCCACCATGCCCAGCTAACTTTTCTATTTTAGTAGAGACGGGGTTTCACTATGTTGACCAGGATGGCCTCGATCTCTTGACCTCATGATCCATCCGCCTCGGCCTCCCAAAGTGCTGGGATTACAGGCATGAGCCACTGCGCCTGGCTAGTCTTTTTTTTTTTGAGACCGAGTTTCACTCTTGTTACCCAGGCTGGAGTGCGATGGCGCCATCTCGGCTCACCATAACCTCCACCTCCTGGGTTCAGGCAATTCTCCTGCCTCAGCCTCCTGAGTAGCTGGGATTACAGGCACGCGCCACCATGCCCAGCTAATTTTTTGTATTTTTAGTAGAGACGGGGTTTCACCATGTTGAACAGTATGGTCTCGATCTCTCGACCTCGTGATCCGCCCGCCTTGGCCTCCCAAAGTGCTGGGATTACAGGCTTGAGCCACCGCCCCCGGCCAAAAAGACATCAACTTTTAGGGTACATTAAGAATTGTGTATTAAAGTTATGCTCACCCAAGAAGACCAGGTTTCTGTAGTTCTCTAACATCACATTTCTATATAAATTCTGCTGAGCAGGGTTCAGGCATTGCCACTCCTCCAGAGAGAATTCTATGGCCACATCCCTAAATGTCAGCGTCTCCTGAAAAACACATATACGGACATACATATATTTACCAAGTGGCCATGGGCCAAATTTATTATTTGAATTAAGGTTAAACAAGAGAGTAAAGAGAATTGATTCTGACTTATAAGAATAACTGAAATTAGTATGGGTGTGGTGGCTCATGTCTGTAATCCCAGCACTTTGGGAGGCCTAGGCGGATGGATCACGAGGTCAGGAGTTCAAGACCAGCCTGACGAACATGGTGAAAATCCAACTTTACTAAAAATACAAAATCTGGGCATGGTGGCACACACTTGTAATCCCAGCTACTCAGGAGGCTGAGGCAGGAGAATCGCTTGAACCCAGGAGGCGGAGGTTGCAGTGACCTGAGATCTTGCCACTGCACTCCAACCTGGGTGACAGAGTAAGACCCTGTCTCAAAACAACAACAACAACAACAACAAAAGGGTAACTGAAATTATCGAATAATTTTAAACCCAGAAATATTCTCTAATGTATTCCCTTACTCTGAAGACAGAGAATGGCGTAAGATCCAAAACACCAGTGCATATACAATACTTTTCTCTATAATAAAGTATATAGTTAAGGACATAAACACAAATATACACATTTTTCAGTGCTGTATTTACAACATAATGAGTTGTGTATATTTTCCTGACCAAAAAAAAAATGTTGATTTAGAAAGTACCTCTCAAATTTAAATGCCTACAATAACTGGAGATCTTGTGGTGAAGTTTTTTTTGTTTTGTTTTGTTTTCCCCCAGAAGACCTGGAATAAAGTCTCAGTTTTAAAAATTCTAACAAGGTCACTAGTAATGCCAATGTTTTTGACCCAAGAAGACTATCTTGTCAAACATTCAGTAAGGGAAAGAGACTGCTTTTCCCAATTTTTCTGGCCTGTAAACAAAGGTAAGAGCCTTCATTTTCCAAAGACAGACTTGTATCATACACACACACACACAAAAGAAAGAAAGAAAGAAAGATAAGAAAAAATGGCAGGTGCCAGATTAAATGTGATGGTTTATGCAAATTAGCTGCATAAATATACTTAATGATAGAGAAAAATAATTGACTCTACAGTGAAAAAAAGAGCTCTTTTGCTAAGTAAATTATTATCAACTACACCAGAAAAAATTTCATGACGTGCTGATGGACACAGAAGAACACAGTATCACTGCTGAGATACTGCCCCTCAAAACTCTATTAAAGATTGAATTTAACCATAAAGAAAAATCAGGTGCAGTGGTTCATGTCTATAATCCTAGCACTTTAGGAGGCCGGGGAGGGTGGATTGCCTCCCCGGAGTTGAACTCCTCCTCCTCAGGAGTTCAAGACCAGCCTAAGGAACATGGTAAAACCCAAACTCTACCAAAAAAAAAAAAAAAAACGCCAGGTATGCTGGCATGTACCTGTAATCCCAGCTACTCAGGAGGCTGAGACAGGAGAATCACTGGAACCCAAGAAGTAGAGGTTGCAGTGAGCTGAGATTGCACCATTGCACTCCAGCCGAGGCAGGAGTGAGACTCCATTAAGAAAGGAAGGAAGGAAGGGAGGGAGGGAGGGAGGGAGGAAGAGAGAAAGAAAAGAAAAATCAGTTTTATGCAAAGGCCAAGATATTTCCCGTGTTGAACAGTTTTTTTTTTTTTTTTTTTTTGAAATGGAGTTTCCCTAGGCCGGGCGCGGTGGCTCAAGCCTGTAATCCCAGCACTTTGGGAGGCTGAGGCGGGTGGATCACAAGGTCAACAGATGGAGACCATCCCGGTCAACATGGTGAAACCCCATCTCTACTAAAAATACAAAAAATTAGCTGGGCATGGTGGCGTGTGCCTGTAATCCCAGCTACTCGGGAGGCTGAGGCAGGAGAATTGCCTGAACCCAGGAGGCGGAGGTTGCGGTGAGCCGAGATCGCGCCATTGCACTCCAGCCTGGGTAACAAGAGTGAAACTCCGCCTCAAAAAAAAAAAAAAAAAAAAAAAAAAGAAATGGAGTTTCCCTCTGTTACCCAGGCTGGAGAGCAGTGTGCAATCTCCACCTCTTAGGTTTAAGCAATTCTCCTGCCTCAGCCTCCTGAGAAGTTGGGATTACAGGGACACACCACCATGCCTGGCTAATTTTTGTATTTTTAGTAGAGATGAGGTTTCACTATGTTGGTCAGACTGGTCTCAAACTCTGGATGTGATGATCTGCCTGCCTCCGCCTCCAAATTGCTGGGATTACAGATGTGATCCACCGTGCCTGGCCTATAATTTTTAATAATGTTTTTAAGTAGACTTTCTTTAGCACCCTAGAGAGCAGGAATCTCTCAGTATTTTTTTTTTTTTTTTTTTGAGACGGAGTTTCGCTCTTGTTACCCCAGGCTGGAGTGCAATGGCGCGATCTAGGCTCACCGCAACCTCCGCCTCCTGGGTTCAGGCAATTCTCCTGCCTCAGCCTCCTGAGTAGCTGGGATTACAGGCACGCGCCACCATGCCCAGCTAATTTTTTGTATTTTTAGTAGAGATGGGGTTTCACCATGTTGACCGGGATGGTCTCGATCTCTCGACATCGTGATCCACCTGCCTCGGCCTCCCAAAGTGCTGGGATTACAGGCTGAGCCACCGCGCCCGGCCATCTCTCAGTATTTTTAAGAACTTCCTGGGTACTAAATGCCAACCAATTTTTTTTTTTTTTTTTTTTTTTTTGAGGCGGAGTTTCACTCTTGTTACCCAGGCTGGAATGCAATGGCGTGATCTCGGCTCACCACAACCTCCGCCTCCTGGGTTCAGGCAATTCTCCTGCCTCAGCCTCCTGAGTAGCTGGGATTACAGGCATGCTCCACCATGCCCAGCTAATATTTTGTATTTTTAGTAGAGACGGGGTTTCACCATGTTGACCAGGATGGTCTCTATCTCTTGACCTCGTGATCCACCCACCTCGGCCTCCCAAAGTGCTGGGATTACAGGCGTGAGCCACCGCGCCCGGCCTGCCAACCAATTTAAATAAGCACTTTCTTAATCCTGTTCTCCATAGTGCTAATAGAGAACACAGATGAAACCTCAACATTCTATGTTCTTCATCTTTACAAAGAACCTCAGCTTTCCCACAATAGGAATCTTGAGTATCCACATCCCATTTTCTACAGCCACAAAGGAACAGTTTTTTTTTTTTTTTTTTTTTTTTTTTTTTTTTTTTTTTTTTTTTTGAGGCAGAGTATCACTCTGGTTTCCCAGGCTGAAGTGCAATGGTGCAATCTCAGCTCACTGCAACCTCCAACTCCTGGGTTCAAGCAATTCTCCTGCCTCAGCCTCCTGGGTAGCTGGGACTACAGGCGCACGCCACCACACCCAGCTAATTTTTTTTGTATTTTTAGTAAAGACAGGGTTTCACTATGTTGGCCAGGATGGTCTTGATCTCTTGACCTCATGATCCACCCACCTCGGCCTCCCGAAGTGCTGGGATTACAGGCTTGAGCCACTGCACCCGGCCAAAAGGAACACTTTTAATATGGAAGATCGTAAATTTATTGTAGGAATTCTGCATTGCATATAAGAAGCTATGATGTAGAGAAGGCTCTCATACATAGGAAAAAAATAGTTTCTAGAGATCAACTATCATAAGAATTTTTTAAAGTACTTGAAATAAACTCACTGAGGAGGAGAAACACAAGTAGAGAAGTAAAGGTTTGTGAGTACTAAATGCACGGCACTCCAGGAGGCAGGGTGGACACAGCTCTTGATCTGAGACATGTTTAGCTGAAAAGAAGCCATTTTTCCTCTTTCTCCTCCTCTGGAAAACCTTTTCAGAAAAAATTCTCTGGACAAGTGACACCGGTATCTTGAGAAAATTCCCTTAAAGGCATCAGCACCACCTGCTTACCTGCTAGTCTCACACCCTCAGACAGAAGGACCAAGAGCAAAAGGTCCACCCGTTTCTCTCCCTTAAAACAGAAGAGATTCAGGAACAATTAGTTGCTCCATGGAAATAAAAATATACATGGAAATAAAAATGTATATTCCTCTATACAAATGAAGACAACCAATCTCCATCCTGAAGTTTCATATTCCTTGCTGGCTCTTTAAAGTTTACAGAGGAAACAGCAGCAATTTCTGAATAAGGCTGTATTTGAAAAATAACATGTACACATGTAATAATGCAATGTTTATTAAGCAGGTACTATCTACTCAAGATTATGTTACAAAGCACTGTGCTGGGAATAACACATTATGTGACTTCATTCTCATAACACCCTGGAAATTGATACTAAGTGTTCAATAATTCCCAGGATTTAAATAAAGAGTTCAGTATTATTCCTTCATCTGTTTCTCTGTCATTTTTTAAAATAAAATGTACAAAATAAAAGCTAAAAATAAACAGATACGAGGAGAAATTTACTGTTTATATTTACTTTTTTGTTACTTGTGGAGGAACTACTGGATCTGCAGAAATAAAAAATAAGTTGCTGCCGGGCGCGGTGGCTCACGCCTGTAATCCCAGCACTTTGGGAGGCCAAGGTGGGTGGATCACAAGGTCAAGAGATCGAGACCATCCTGATCAACATGGTGAAAGCCCGTGTCTACTAAAAATACAAAAAATTAGCTGGGAATGGTGGCGCGTGCCTGTAATCCCAGCTACTCAGGAGGCTGACGCAGGAGAATTGCCTGAACCCAGGAGGCGGAGGTTGCGGTGAGCTGAGATCACACCATTGCACTCCAGCCTGGGTAACATGAGTGAAACTCTGTCTCAAAAAAAAAAAAAAAAAGTTGCTAAATGAAATGTTTCTGTGAGCACTGGTTTTAATACAAAATTTAAAAATTAAGATTCTGAGGCCGGGCGCGGTGGCTCAAGCCTGTAATCCCAGCACTTTGGGAGGCCGAGGTGGGTGGATCACAAGGTCAAGAGATCGAGACCATCCTGGTCAACATGGGGAAACCCCGTCTCTACTAAAAATACAAAAAAAAGTAGCTGGGCATGGTGGCATATGCCTGTAATCCAAGCTACTCAGGAGGCTGAGGCAGGAGAATTGCCTCAACCCAGGA